TAGGAGCAAAGGAACGGCAAAGGGGTGTGATATGATAGAAGTGAAAATAAGTTTGGTATAAAGTGTTTAATAATCGGGAGGTAGAGCAAATGATTGAGAAGATGGAAGAAAAATTTAACGAAGAACGGTAAAAAAGGAAAGCATATAATGTTGGTGAAAAATATAAATACGAGATGTGTAGAATAATAATGAGATGATTATGATGGGTAAGATGAAGGTGTTTGATATCCAGGAAAATATAAAAAAGTCATATGATGAAAGAATGAATAGGAAAAAGAAAAGTTTTTTGGGAATTCCATGAACTTTGGGGATTGATGTATTTGAGAGAAAGAGTGGATGAGATGAAGAAGGATGGTGGTCAATAGAAGAGCAAGAGGTGTCATAGAGGTTACAGAGGTGGATGGGATGAGGAAGGACGGCGGTCAATAGAAGAACAAGAGGTGTCATAGAGGTTATAGAGGTGGATGGGATGAGGAAGGACGGTGGTCAATAGAAGAGCAAGAGGTGTCATAGAGGTTATAGAGGTGGATGGGATGAGGAAGGACGGTGGTCAATAGAAGAGCAAGAGGTGTCATAGAGGTTATAGAGGTGGATGGGATGAGGAAGGACGGTGGTAAATAGAAGAGCAAGAGGTGTCATAAAGGTTATAGAGATGGATGGGATGAGGAAGGATGGTGGTCAATAGAAGAGCAAGATGAGTCATGACTTCATAGAGGTTATAATATCAATAATAGTACCATGGTCATATATGCATATATATATATGTAGATATATATAGATCCCTTCCCTCTAAAGCATTTCCACAGGCATATATACGGGCCACAGTAAGTTATATTTGTTTTAGTCTTGAAATGATTTTTATTAAGTAAATTTTCTCAGAGATAGGCTAATAATAAAATAAATAATTTTGTAGTTAATTTATAAAAAATATACAAATATCGCATATTAATTTTTGCAAATTTTGAACATACACACACAAATAATTATCTTATTTAATACTTCTTACAATTTTAAAACGTAATCATCTATAAAATATTACAAGCAATTATCCGTTAAGAAATGTTATGCTGATATGATACGTAGTAATCCAAATCTACGTGTATTTATGTGTGTATATCTAAAAATAACCCTGGCACTAAAAGAGTTCTCTATAATATAAGGGTTAATGTAAAATAGATAACAAGAATAAAATATGAAAGTTGTATTATTTTTTAGACTTAAAAGCTGTTAAGTACTATGAATAGAAATACGTTTGAAAAAGTGGAGAAAATATGGATATTTGGAAGAATGTTAGATATAATGAAAGACATTTATACCCAAGGTTAACAAAAAATTGGGAATTTAACAATCTGCAAATAGGAATCGTAAAAATATAAGCAAAGGCTGTACTTAAGCTTTTTAAAGAAACATCAGATGTTTGTAAGAAAGCTAGTTTCAAGGAGTAATGATAACATCGTTTACACTAGAATTATGATGTTGTTTAGTTTATGTAAAATACAGAAGAAACAAATTGACTTTTAAATATCTCCACGACCTGTGCAGTACCTTATTTAGTTTTCTACAAAAGGTTTGGGTGCAATATACCAAAGCCGTTTTTGTTTTAGGCTGGCAAGAGAATAATAATAAGAAAGAGAAGAATTACAAACGGGCCGTTCTGAGCGGATTTTTTTCCTTGTAAGTCTAACATGCGTGCTTTTTTGTGTATTTTATATGTGTACAGCCTTAGCAGTTAATAGTAAAGGTTTTAAAATGTTGTTTGAACTGAATTTTTATTGTTTAAGGTGCTTTTTGCCCAAACGTTGTATTAGGGTTTGTGCAATTCCTTACGATCCCTATTATGAACCACTATCGTAGTTCATGATAAAGAAATGATGAATAAAATTAAAAGAAAAGAAGAAAGATCATATATATTTTGGGCAGTGAAAGGAGTTACACAACAAATTTTTTAGGCCTTCCGCTGTTCTCAATATAACTCCTCTCCCATGGGCTCCTGTAGTATCCCTGGGGCTTATAACGCTAAAATTCGGGGGTTTATCCCTACGGTGTACACAGCACAAACAGCTCACGGTACAGCTTCGCACTTGGAACATGCAAAATCACAATATTTAAGCGATTTGAGATATGAATGGATGGAAAAAACACTGAGTGAAAAGTGATAAGTAATAATGTTTCTGTCTGAAACATCCAGATGGCAAGTCGATAAAATTAAGAGCAAGCATAGGGTACGATATATGCAGAAGATTAAACTAGTTTCAATTTTAGATAAATCAAGAGTAATAGTTTTAATTTTAAAAAAGAAGGACGAACAGATAAAAATGAAAAATGAGAATAGAAAGCGCAGCAAATAGAGGTGGTCAGAAAGTATAAATATTTGAGGCATTGAGTCAATAACAGGAATACAGCAACGGAATAAGTAAAGGTTATTGAAGTGAAGGCACAACGAGCAGTAAAAGAAACACGGAATGCAGCTAAAAGAATCAGAATATGAATATGGATAGACAGTTGTGTTTGTATGAAAGCTTGGTAAATGCTATGGGACCCACAGTGGCACAGCGGTATGTCTGTGGACTTACAACGATAGAATACGGGTTTCGATACCCGTGGTGTGCAGAGCACAGTTAGCCCATTCAAATTCGATGACAAGGTTTTGTCATCATCAGTTACCTGATGATGACAAACCTTGTCGAAACGTTGTACATTTGCTGTTATGTTAAACTTATATTAAAGTTTTTCTTCATTACCCATTCAAGCCGTCTCCAACCATAGTTAGCCCATTGTGTAGCTTTGTGCTTAATTACAAATAAACAAACAATTATTAACTATGGAGCAGAAATGTGTATATCGAGAAAGGAAAAAAAATGAAATAATACAACGAAAATATATAACATAAGCGTTTTGGTGTTAAATAGAAACGCGCGCTATTACATTTGATAGATGGGGTAGGTAGATCAGGACAACGAAGAAACTTTTTGCATATATTTTAGAGATACTGAAGGAAGGTGGCCAAACATTGTTGAAAGTTATTACAAAAAAAAGAAGAAACAATAAAAATTATGGTTTATTAACAGAACGTTTGACAAGAGTAAAAATCTTAAAATTTATGAGATTATAGGTGAAGGAGAACAGGTTGGAAAGGTAAAATAAATTAAAAAGACTATTGTAAAATGTATATATATAAAAGAAAAAGTAAGAATGGAAAGATATATGAAATAAAACAAAATGAAAATAATTTCAAGATTAAGGTGTAGTCATGTTCAATATGGTACAAAGAAATGAATAAAGGAGTAAGAGAGGAAATGTAGAACTTGTAAAGATCAGCAAGAGACGATAATACATATATGGAGCCCCCAGTGGCACAGCGGTATGTCTGCGGACTTACACCGCTAGAATACGGGTTTCGATACCCGTGGTGGGCAGAGCACAGATAGCCCATTGTGTAGCTTCGTGCTTAATAACAAACAAACATATATGGAATGGTAAAAGAATGGAAAAAAACCGTACAGATGAAACAGAATGAACAGAAAATGACAGAAAACTATGAAAGGCTTAGATATGGAAGTATTAAAAGAAAAACAAATAGTGAATGTAAAGAAATTTATATAAAATTAGTATATAACTGATAATAGGTTAAGAAATTATGTAAATAATTTTAATATTTTATGCTTGTGGCTGATCATTTAATTAATGTAATTATAAAAAATATGTAAGAAATACAGACATACGGTAACGGATAAATTTCTTTCCAAAATAAAAACATAAGTCTAAGGAATAAGTTAACTGAAATAAATTAATATAAATTTTTCTAAGGCACCTTGTCCTAAGAATTTCAAATGCCTGCCTTTTAACTCAAAAAATGTTGGACTGACTTTTGTTACGCTAAAAAGACCAAAGCCTTACTTAAAATCATTAAAATAAGGATAGACATTATATTTTAGGCTACATAAATGTTTATTGACATAGTTCTTCCAATCTTTTAGCCCCCCAGTGGCAGAGCGGTATGTCTGCGGACTTACAACGCTAGAATCCGGGTTTCGATACTCGTGGTTGTCAGAGCACAAATAGCCCATTGTGTAGCTTTGTGCTTAATGACAAAAAAACAAACCATCTAATCTTTTACCTTGATCACTACAGTTTCACTGAGTCATACATTGTAAAATAGTTTAAATACGACAATTTAGGTGAGTTTTCTCTCCCTCTTTCTTTCTTTCTCTGAGACCCGACGGTATTAAATAAATTAATTAAGTTTGTTGACTTTTGTTGGAGGTCGAAGTTCACTGAATGAGAAAGTAAATGCAAAGACTTGGAAAAAACAATATTTTTTTTTTCGAAAATGACAAAATAAAACAAGTACTGAAGGTGACAGATTTAACAGTAAAGTTTGAGAATTAGCCTAAAAAAGTTAGAGAATTCATTAAAATTTGGGAGAAGGGAGTGACGGGCACATACTCATGCGTATCTTTGCTCTCTCAATGTCTACGGACTTCCGTCAGCTTGATCATGATTGATGTAGAAGTTTCTAATCATCTGCGAAGATTTGTCTTCCTTATCTTCTGTTGACCACGCTTATAACTAAAAACCTACACTGCTCTTTATGGTGCTATAGATTATTGAACGACATCACATAAGTTACCATGGACATTACCTGCTAAGGATTGTGTGATTGTGATTCAAACATTAGCTGGTATCTAAGTTACTTTACAGGTAAATAAATACGGTTATAGAAAGTAAAAGAAGTGCTCTCGTTGACAATCCTATTTTTAGTGCTCGTTCTTTAAGAAACAAGTCACTAAGATTCTTCATGCACTGTAGAAGTAAGTAGGTAAGCTATTAATAACTGTCTTTACACATAAACTCGTTGACTGAGATAAGAGCTCTGAATGAAATAATATATATATATATATATATATATATATATTTTTCGATTAGACGTATAACGATAATGCAGTGTTACAGATGATCTTATGTACATAAACAACGTTAAGAAGTTGTCTTTTTCCAAGGTATTGTATTAGGTCAAACTCTTAGTCCTCGAAGCGGTTCCACTCGTCAGCTGTTCCAAGCAACGTGGAGTGGCAAAGCATTTAAGCCTACAGACCCAAGTCAAACGTTTAAGGCATTCCAGACAACAATTAACGGAATCCAGTAAGTATTCCTTCCCTCAGAACTTTCTTAACGAAATAATGTTAGTCAAATGTTAAAATCAGACAAACGATCTATTAGTTAAATAGTAATGTAACATAAGCGCTATTATATCCCAATAAAACTGGTGATAATTTAAATCAGATAATTTTTTTTGTTTTTTCTGTAAGGAGGGATTGTAGCTCGCAACCCTGCCAGACTGATGAATTCTGATTGAGCTGACAAAGCTTACAATAAATGAAATGTAGTAAAAATACTATTATACAGTCTTTTTAGTGGAAACCCTTATTGGACCAACAGAGAAAAGTATGATTTAAAGCATTAACAATCTATCTTATTGTGTTGGAAGGTAAACATACACACATATTACTATTGAATTAGATCGTGAGGTTTTATCTTCACCATTTAGACGTTTGTCAATACTTCATGCTTAGCTGGTTAATGAAATATACTTTAGTACGCTTTTTAGATGTTAATCGCACTTTATGCTCAGGATGATGGGCATGATTTTGCCCAACACCAAACTTTTCATTGGAACAAACTTCTGCGAAGAACTAAGAGGTGAAAGATCATTTTCCTAAGCAAACTTTCCAAAGACATTCTACTGAACATGAACATCATCTTTCTCTATAACAGCTGTCGTTTTCGTGGTGTGACTGGAAGCTTGTACTTTTCACTTGTGAATCTTTCTTTGGTAACTTCAAATATCTGTGTATCATCTTGCCAACGGTAGCAGGAGATATGCCCAGCTTTATTGTACTATCTTTTTTTTTAGGATCAGAAAAGTCATTTTTTTTATTTTAGCCTTCACTTTGCAAACGAGAAAATTCCTCCACATTGGTTATAGGCGTGACTTTGGAGCCTCTTTGTTGGCTCATAAGTTCAGCAATATGAGTTTTCCGCTTCCACCCATTCTTCAAAATCCTGTCTTTTGACTTTACATTGCATAATAAATTCGCTATACGCATACCCTGGCTAGGAAAGATGTACGAAATATTTCTCCAGCCATAAGACTACTTGTGGCGGAATTACACTATCGACTCGCTGTAGACCGAAAATATATTATATAAGTACTGAATATGTCAATCCCCCGCCCCAGATATACCAATATATATTAATGGCGCTACTTCTTGCTAAAACGGCCCGGCATGGCCAGGTGGTTAAGGCACTCGACTTGTAATCTGAGAGTCGCGGGTTCGAATCCCCGTCACACCAAACATACTCGCCCTTTCAGCCGTGGGGGCGTTATAATGTGACGGTCAATCCCACTATTCGTTGGTAAAAGAGTAGCCCAAGAGTTGGCTGTGGGTGGGGATGACTAGCTGCCTTCCCTTTAGTCTTACACTGCTAAATTAGGGATGGTTAGCGCAGATAGCCCTCGTGTAGCTTTGCGCGAAATTCAAAAACAAACAAACAAACAAATCTTGCTAAAAACCAAAGAATGTGACTATAGCCTATCAGTGACGCTACTTTTCACTAAAACTAGATAGTCTGGCTGCAGCCTATTGTTTCGGCTCTGCTCGTTTGTTAATTTCCGGTATAAATTCTTTCCGAGGAACTCTAGCGATACAAGTCCTTTCTTAATTAAAACTAGTTTATTTTTCTTGATACAACTTTTTAGAGCACAGAATTTTCACTGTCACTTTGAACTTAACTACCTTTATAACACACGC